ATCCATCCATCCATCCATCCATCCATCCATCCATCCATCCAACAAACAATCCTCCATCCATCAAGCAATCCATCCATCCATCCAACAATCCATCCATCCATCCATCCAACAATCCATCCATCCATCAATCCATCCACCCATCCATCCATCCAATCAAACAATCCATCCATCCATCCATCCTTCCATCCATCCAATCAATCAATCAATCAATCAATCAATCAATCAATCAATCAATCAATCAATCAATCAATCAATCAATCAATCAATCAATCAATCAATCAATCAATCAATCAATCAATCAATCAATCAATCAATCAATCAATCAATCAATCAATCAATCAATCAATCAATCAATCAATCAATCAATCAATCAATCAATCAATCAATCAATCAATCAATCAATCAATCAATCAATCAATCAATCAATCAATCAATCAATCAATCAATCAATCAATCAATCAATCAAACCAACCAACCAACCAACCAACCAACCAACAAACAAACAACCCATCCATCCATCCATCCATCAATCAATCAGGCTTTATTAACACAGCTGATGTTAAAGCAGCCCATAAAATAACACCATATAATGAGATCAAATGAGACAGAACTACAGATACTATAGATTACACTGAACTAAATCCCACAAAAACATGATAAAAACGGTTAATTCTGATTTCAACGGTTAATTCAAGATTTTTCTGATAAAAACTTCAATTATGGTTTAAAATATGATTTAAAAAAAACTTGCTGTGCTTGTTTGTAGGGCTGCACAATTTGGCCCAACATTTTGTGATTATAAATCAATATGACTAGAAAATAATAAAAATAATAATAAATTAAAATATTAAACAAAATAAGAAATATTACTATTGTATGGAAGCTTGTTTCTGCTATAGGATTAAAAAATATTAAAAAAGATAATTGCAACTTTTTATTTCTTTTTATCTTTATTTCTGATATAAACTCAGAATTCTGACTTTTTTCTTGTAATTCTAAATGTATCTCTCACAATTCTGATAAAAAGAAACAAAAAACAGAACTGCGAGACAGAAAGTTAGAATTCAGAGAAGAAGAAAAAAGTCAAAATTGCCAGATATAAACTCAGAATGGCAAGATGTAAACTTGGAATTGCAAGACAAAAGTCAGAATCTCACAAGTTCTAAAGTTTTTTTCTAAAAAAAAACAAAAAAAACAATGCAATTTTATTCCATGGCGGAAACTGGCTTCCATCCTACTGTAATATTTCACTGTAAAACAACAACGTCATTTAAGAAAAATATACTAATAATTACTCATATTATGGCTGTCTTAATTCATTTTCACCAGCTTTTATTTTGGTTACATTATAATGCTCTTTGGTCATTTTTGAAGTTTCTGTTTTTTAGAATGTTTTACTTTATTGGAATGTTACAAAACTTGGCAAAGGTTTTGGCATTGTGAACAAACACAAATAAATAAATAAATCATGGACATGATTTGAAAAGGTTAAATGGTCCTGAAAAATATTGTCACACTTGTTCACGGTCAAAAATGACGCGTTGCAAACGAATGGGAAGTGAATTTCATCTAGTGGAAACATTCAGTATTACATCCAAATTTAAAAAAAAAAAATCTGACTCATGTTTTGTGATATCAACCTCAAATTTGGAACACAACTTGTTTAGATTTATAGCTTTGATTTTTAAAGTTTTAAAGTAAAGCACGCTTTGGAAAAAACATTTAATAACAATAAAATTAAACTTTTAGAATTTTTTTTCCCACTTCAGCAATAATCTGACAAATGCCTTCGTAAAAAGAGATCAAACGTAAGATTTATGAGTTTGAGCTGGAAATTTTATTTTTCAAGTCAATGATCAAAATGTCAAATTTATAAGTAAAATATTTATACTAATAATTTATAACTTATATATTTATAATAAATAAATGTCGTTAACAGGTAATAAATGGATCATATCTATTCCATAAATATAATTTAGTAGCATAAAATCCCCTAAAAATACAAAAGATTATTATCAAACTAAAATATACAGTGGGGAAAATATTTATTTGATCCCCTGCTGATTTTGTAAGTTTGCCCATTTACAAAGAAATGAAGGGTCTGTCATTTTTACGGTAGGTTTATTTTAACATATAGAGACAGAATATCAACCAAACAATTCAGAAAAAACATTATATAAAGGTTAGAAATTGATTTCAGTCTATTTCAGTGAGTGAAATAAGTATTTGACTTAGTACTTGGTGCAGAAACCCTTGTTGGCAAGCTCAGAGGTAAGACGTTTCTTGTAGTTGGTCACCAGGTTTGCACACATCTCAGGAGGGATTCTGATCCACTCCTCTTTACAGATCCTCTCTAAATCCTTAAGGTTTCTTGGCAGTCGTTTGGCAACTCAAAGTTTTAGCTCCATCCACATATTTTCTATAGGATTGAGGTCTGGAGACTGGCTAGGCCACTCCATGGCCTTAATATGCTCTTCTTGAGCCACTCCTTTGTTGCCTTGGCGGTATGTTTCGGGTCACTGTCATGCTGGAAGACCCATCCATGACCCATCTTCAGTGTTCTGGCTGAGGGAAGGAGGTTCTCGTCCAAGATATTACAGTACATGCCCTGTCCATTTGCCCCTCAATGCGGTGAAGTCCTCCTGTACCCTTAGCAGAAAAACAGCCCCAAAGCATAATGTTTCCACCTCCGTGCTTGACTGTAGGGATGGTGTTCTTGGGGTCATAGTCAGCATTTCTCTC